ACCACCAGAAATCAGCTTAATTGTGGGAATTTTAGTCCTTTATACAACCAGAAGCTACAGTCAGGTCCAGAAATATTGGGACATCAACACAATTCTAACATCTTTGGCTCTATACACCACCCCAATGAATTTGGAATGAAACAAACACAATGTGCCTTAACTGCAGACTGTCAGCTTTAATTTGAGGGTATGTACATCCAACTCAGGTGAACGGTGTAGGAATTACAACAGTTTGCATATGTGCCTAAGTCAACAATCAAAAGAAGACTTCACCAGAGTGAATACAGAGGGTTCACCACAAGATGTAAACCATTGGTGAGCCTCAAAAACAGGAAAAGTCAACAATCAAAAGAAGACTTCACCAGAGTGAATACAGAGGGTTCACCACAAGATGTAAACCATTGGTGAGCCTCAAAAACAGGAAAAGTCAACAATCAAAAGAAGACTTCACCAGAGTGAATACAGAGGGTTCACCACAAGATGTAAACCATTGGTGAGCCTCAAAAACAGGAAAAGTCAACAATCAAAAGAAGACTTCACCAGAGTGAATACAGAGGGTTCACCACAAGATGTAAACCATTGGTGAGCCTCAAAAACAGGAAAAGTCAACAATCAAAAGAAGACTTCACCAGAGTGAATACAGAGGGTTCACCACAAGATGTAAACCATTGGTGAGCCTCAAAAACAGGAAAAGTCAACAATCAAAAGAAGACTTCACCAGAGTGAATACAGAGGGTTCACCACAAGATGTAAACCATTGGTGAGCCTCAAAAACAGGAAAAGTCAACAATCAAAAGAAGACTTCACCAGAGTGAATACAGAGGGTTCACCACAAGATGTAAACCATTGGTGAGCCTCAAAAACAGGAAAAGTCAACAATCAAAAGAAGACTTCACCAGAGTGAATACAGAGGGTTCACCACAAGATGTAAACCATTGGTGAGCCTCAAAAACAGGAAAAGTCAACAATCAAAAGAAGACTTCACCAGAGTGAATACAGAGGGTTCACCACAAGATGTAAACCATTGGTGAGCCTCAAAAACAGGAAAAGTCAACAATCAAAAGAAGACTTCACCAGAGTGAATACAGAGGGTTCACCACAAGATGTAAACCATTGGTGAGCCTCAAAAACAGGAAAAGTCAACAATCAAAAGAAGACTTCACCAGAGTGAATACAGAGGGTTCACCACAAGATGTAAACCATTGGTGAGCCTCAAAAACAGGAATGTATAGAGCCAAAGATGTTAGAATTGTGTCGATGTCCCAATATTTCTGGACCTGACTGTATATGAGTACAAAGTTTACAAACAGGAAGATCCACACTTTCCAGGAAAAAATTCTGGATGCCCCTTGTGATCTTTGACCAGTTTTTCTCAAAGATCTGTGATCTGGAGGCAGGATACTGCCCTGTGCCACACTGAAGTGGTGAAGATGCAACTGGTCCAAACTATATGTACTTCCCTCTTTTACCAATCCCTATACCAGCTGGGTCTTTGTAAAATATATTAGTTTAAACTGCTGGTGCTGACTCTTTGAGCCTTGCAAACAGGCACACAGAAATATTTGGAAAATCTATTTGTGGTTCACATCCCTGTGCTTTTGGCTCAGTTTTCTAGCCGTAGCTGACTGATACTTCCTTGTACCATGGTTGAGAGCTTCTTCCCATCTCTAGCACTCTTTGGAACCAACTTCCACCAGAATTGCCCCTAGAATTTGATCTACCAAGATTTAAAAAGGAGTTAAATGTCTCCTTTATGGGCCTTTGTGAAGTTGGCTAAGTATCAGCTCTTAATGCAGAATTCTTATTGTTATTTGGATATAGATGCCAACTGCTTTTCAAATGCTGCGAGCCATTCAGGCTATGAAAACTCTATTTTTTAAAGATATAATTTCACATTGGAACATAGCTTGCTATTGCCCCAAACTGTTGATCTTGTATTTTAACATTTTCTACTCCACTTAGTTATAAGTGCATGAACAAATAACTACCATTATTACTACTATTAGTATTTATTTACAATCATTGGCCAGTCAAATATAGCTTACAAAAAAATTACAAAAACAACATAGAAAATAAAAAATAACAATAAAATCAAGAGTATAATAGGAGAATCACTAAAAGGGAAAGAATAATTGTATTAACATTATTATTATTATTATTATTATTATTATTATTATTCCTCCTGCTGCTGCTGCTGCTGCTACAACTACCACCTTCTCCTAAGCAGCCATTTGGCATGAATAAATCCACGTCCTATTAGATCTTCTGTGAGATGGTACACATCCTGAATGTGATGAATTCAAGGTATGGTATGAGATGACATCAAAGTAGGGCATGAGAAGAATGTGTGCTTCAGTGGAGGGCTTTCACTGAATAGGAAGTGTGCTGTACCTACAACTGATCATCTCTTGGCCTCAGAGAAATGTGGTCCTGAATGTATAACAGGTAGTGCTCCTATAGCATGGTGCTACAGGCCGGAGGGATGCAAGAGGGCTTTCCAGGAAAGTGCTCACTTTTAAGGATATATAATTGGAGGTGGTCATGAAATGCCAAGAGTGTGTTATGCTATTCTCCTAAGCCTGATGCTCCTGGCCAGGGATGTCCAGATGGGCATGTGACATTCTGGTGTTCTGGACCTCCCTGCTTGCAGGAAAGAAGAATGAGATCAAATTTTACTTAATTATCTCACCTATGATGGGGAAGGGATATCAGGCTGACTTCTCATCTGGAAGATCAGACTGATGGCCTCCAGCTGAGGCTAAGACACCTGTTGCTGCCCATGTATGTAGGAGCAAAGGGCCTCTAACTATTGTCACAACTGGACACACCTGGTAGTAAAGTGAGCATTTGGGCATCTGAAGACTAGAGTGCCTATCTTGCCCCATTGTCTTCAGTGTTAAGTGATGACAGCTTCTAGCCCATGCAATCCACATTTTGCTTGTAAATTCCATCTGGACTTAGTATTCAAGATATGTAAATAGAGGTGGATATGGACTGCCAAGGGTATGCTGTGTTATTCACCTAAATCTGCTAATTCGGATTATAAATTCAATAGAGCATCAATGTGTCCTGAGATGTAACAAACCCCTACAGCACGGCACAGTCAAGAAAGCAATTAGACAGATCTGAGCTTTTTTAAAAGCAAGTAATAGGGATAAAGCACAGAATCTTGGAAACTGTGATAGGAACTCCCAGATCTAATTTATTAGTGAATTCAATAAGGAGCAATCTCTTTGAATGGCTTGAATCTCCTCTTCTTAGCTTTTTGAAGCCTGGACTGAGCTGCCATTTATGAGAATAGCTACTAATTAACTTCTCTCTTGTCTTTTGGTTGTCTATGTCCACTTTTCTCCTGTTACTTTCTCAGCTTTCCCATAGTTTCCTACAGGTTGCTGGCATGTGTCCCTATTATTCTACTCTCCCTCTCAGATCCCCCTCCCCCTCTTCCATTACGTAAGGCCTGAACTGAGCCAGAAGGCTGCCTCCCTTAGAGCAAGAACTTATTGAGTTTCTTGTCAATAAAGAAGCTTTGTATCTTTCAAGGTGTAGCTGTCCTGTTCTTTGGTTTTGTTTTTCTGGGCAGATCAAAGGGAATAGCTAAAGGGTGGGAGAGGAAGACTAATATTTGACATCTTATTAGAGAGGCTTGACTACCATCTGCAAGGGATGAGTGGGGGAGGAATGAGGGGAAAATATACTGTAGGGTGGGGTACAGATGGGAGAGAGGAGGTGGGATAGCAGCTGGAAGTGAAATGGTAGAAAGGGGTGCAAAGGGCAAATGAGAAGAAAGTAGGAAATGTGGACAGTGAGTCGATGTCACACATTTTGGTGTTTCTTAATGCTCAGAACAGTTTTACGGCCTTTCCCACCCACTAGTGCAAGTCTGGCCAAAGGGGAAGGGGTGATTTTCATACTGAAGCTAGGGAACATAGGAGGGTGAAGGGGGACAGGGCAGAAGGATGGGTAGGATTCTGGATTCCACAAACAGTGGCACTTTTCCTGATTAGCCTAATTATCTGGAACTGGGACCAGTAAGAGTTAACCTGGCTGGATATGTTGTGTCAATAGGATCTATGTTGTCACTGGGCATAATGGAACATTAAGTTTCTGTTGTGCAATTCATCTTCATCTACAACACATCTGCAAATTGTCTCAGTCCAAACCTAATTTGTTGAGCCTTGTGGCAATGGGGGAGTGGCAAAGCAACAGGTGGAGATGAACTCTGGCAGTTGTAGTCACAAACCTGCACATGGGTGGCCCTTGAACCAGTGGTCAGTAATCTCAGTACTTGGGGCAGCACAGATGTCCGGCAGCATCCAGGGTGACTGGGCAGCCCTTCTAGAATAGCACTGCTCACCCTCACATGAGGGAGTTAGAAAAGGTTCCCTAAACATTGCCTGCTCCACAACATCTGGCTAGCTAACTGCGGCTGGCAAATCATCTCCTTAGCGGTCGAGCATCAAGAAAAACAAATCAAAGAAAACTCATTTTTGGAGACTGGAACCTCTGCACTTTGCTGGATAGAGACAAGGTGTCAAGGGCTGAAAGATGAACAGCACTCATAGCAGCCAAACCTCACCATTATAGCACTGATATTGCTGCACTCAGTAAGACCAGGCTGGCAGACAAGGGTTCATTACAGGAAGCAGTGAGTGGATATACATACTTTTGGAAAGGGAAACCGCAGACTGAAAACAGGACTCACGGAATCAGTTTTGCAATCAAAGCTGTTCTGCTGAAGAACATCTCTACTCTATCCACTGGAGTAAGTGAACACATTATGAAGTTCCACTTTCCTCTCAGTAAGTCCAGGGATATCACCATTGTCAGTGCCTACACACCAACTCTCATGAGTCCAGACAAAGACAAGGAAGGTTTCTATGAGGACCTGGACCAGATTATTCAAACAACCCCTGCCAGTGACAAACTTGTCTTTTTGGGCGACTTCAATGCTAGGGTGGGGACAGACAGCGACAACTGGGGCAAAGTCCTCAGGAGACATGGGTGAGAAAACTAGCAATGGCCTGCTGCTTCTGGACAAATGTGCTGAGCACAACCAGTGCCTCACTAACTTGATGTTCAGACTTGCAAACAAGTACAAAACTACAGTGCCCGGATGCATCCCAGGTCCAAACACTGACACCTACTTGAGTATGTCATAGTACATCAGCATGACTTTAAAGACATCACCATCATCCAAGCCATGCAAGGTGCTGAGTATTCAACCTGCATATAGCACCTGTATATTGTAAGCAACCAAGGACTGTCAGAAAGTCATTCAACGTCAGCAGATTGCAAGACCCGGGCCAAGCTCAACATTTCCAAGATGTACTTAATGAAAAACTCTGGCAATGTACTGCCTGAAGGAATCTGTTCTGAAAGGTGGATGCAGTTTAAAGATGTCATCACGGAGACTGCAACAATTGTACTCGGACTGAAAACCTGGCCACATCAAGACTTGTTTGATTAAAACTACGAGATCATTTCAGCAGCCCTCCAGGCCAAGAACAAGGCCTATGCAGACTGCAGAATGATCCATCATCTGTCTCAATGAAAGACAAGTTTAAGCACCTGCAGTTCAAAGCACAGATGGAACTATGAGAAATGTAGGATGAGTGGTGGCAGAGAAAGGCTGAGCAGGTGGAACACTGTGCAGACATGCAGGCCACCAGAGAGTTCTTCAGGGTCATAAAGTCAGTTTATGGTCCTTCTAAATCAGGATGCTCCTCCCTGCTGTCATCTGATGGGTCAAGCCTGATCAAAGACCAGGAAGGACTAAAAAAATGCTGGGCTGAACACTTTTCCAACCTACTCAGTAGGCCATCCACAGTTGATCCTAATGTCTTACAGCAGATTCCTCAGCTGCCAATCTTGGATGCCCGAGACCTGCCTCCCTCTACTGATGAGATCAAGAAAGCAATCTTGCAGATGAACTCAAATAAA